AAGCTCAAAACACATGTATGAAGATGGGGGGCGGGCTGGGGGGTGGTTCTGGCCGGAGCCCTTGCCCTGTCTTTAGTACAGGAGAATCAGGAGTTCACCCACAGGGCAGCTGTCAGTGCTGGGGGAATGGATGAGTAAAAGTGAGGGGTGGGGGAGGTGAAGGTGTGGGAGGGACCATCTTTAAAAAGGAAAGGAAAATGGTGGGTAGAATGATGGACTGCTTAACAGCAATCCCACCCAGGTACCTCAACCAGGGCACCCAGTTTTCCTGCCTCCCTCCCTCCATCTTGAGCTCCAGGGCCATCCCAGAAGCTCGCTTCATCAGCAAGGCCCTTTAGCTCCTGGACCACAGCTTCAACTGTCCTCATCTCCCACCGAGGGGCAGCTGGGATGAGGACCCTGGCAACCTGCTCACAGAGTGATGTCTGGGCAGATTAGAGCCCCAGAGCCAGCAGACCTCTTAGGAGGCCTTTGTGGGGGAGGAGAAGGGGATTTTCCGTTCTGTGAGCAACTGGATTACACAGTCAGGGGATCAGGGGGGAACTGATGCTTAAGCTGCTGCTTCATGGCCCAGCCTCTACTGTGGCTCTCAGCCTCTCACTTCTCAGCAGGGATCTGAGCAGGTTTGCCTTGCTGGTTTTTGAAGGTGAGTGTGTGTGTGTGTGTGTGTGTGTGTGTGTGTGTGTGTGCGCGTGCGCGTGTGTAATCCAAATCAGGTTTAGAGGCAAAACTAAGTCTCATCTCCCACCCCATCCTGCAGCTTTGACACAAAATGGGGCGGGGGAGGGGATTCAGAAGAAATCAGCTACCAACCCTCACCCTCCACAAGGTCTGGAGGTCAATCCAGGAAGTATGGCTCAGAGAAGTGAAGTGACTTGATTTGAGTCACACAGTAGGGCAAGACAAGCAGGATGTTTTCCTGTGTGGGCTTGTGGGGGCAATGTCTCTGCAGAATAATCCATGTCTGTTTCAGAGTCCGGAAAGATATAGAGGCTCTGCTGTCCTGCCCTGAGCTTGTCGCTGAGCTTCCTGTAAACCACCATGTGCTTTCCCGTGAAGGAACCTACACCCATTTGGTCTCTAAAGCTACAGAGAACCATAGTGGATGGTAGAAGGTGGTGGAGGTTGGGATGCTGTTTGAAGAATCCTAAGTTTGGGAGCTTAATAGTATAGTGTGACATTAGCTTACCAGACCCTAGCATGCACACACACACACACACACACACACACACACACACGCACACACACACAGAGAGAGAGAGAGAGAGAGAGAGAGAGAGAGAGAGAGAGAGAGAGAGAGAGAGAGGAACAAAGAGACACAGACAAAGAGACAGAGGCAGAAAGAGAGGAAGAAAGAAATCTAAGTGTAAGGTCTAACCTCAGCCTTCTCGCTAACTTGCTGTGTGACCTTGAACAAGTCACCTCCCCTCTCTTAGCCTAAAAATGGATATTAAAAGCATCTTAACATCTTTTCAAAATTATATGGAAGACTGAGTAAAATAGGGTACTGAAAGAACACCAGGTGCAGTACATATATATATATATATTCGTTGTCCAATAAATAACAGTAGAGGTAAAATTCTTTACCCAGGAGTTGTGCCCATTTCCCAGAACAGGAGAATCTGCTATATAGCCTGACAGTTGGCTCTTCTCTCCAGGAGGGCATATCCATCATGTTTAGCAACCCCTGACCTCCCCCACCTGGTAGAAGGTTACTGGGGGGTCATGCCCCACACCCTGCATCCATTTTCTGGAGAGAGTCTCCACATAAGAGGCCTCAGGACCCTACCCTACCCCATGTGGCCCCTAGAGGCCTCTTGATGACATAATGACATAATGACCTTTCTGATGGCCTGTGCTCCCTGTAGTCAGAAAATTTCTGTGATCCTATGACCCCTACAAGCCCTACTCTGCTAATGGCTTTATGATCTTCCCCCATTGATTTCTCTTTGCCCTCCCTGCCCCACAGTCCCCTTTCAGTAGGTTCTCGTCAAAATAAACAACATTTATGACCAGAGCAAGATTCAAGGTCCACACTGCAAACAAATGCTGAGCCCTTTGAAGGTACCTGGGGAATCCATCATGTTCTGGGGCATCCTGGGGTGTGATGCTCCCCAGGCCCAAGGGAAGCAGGCTGGGAAGGGACTCTCTGGATGAGGATTTGGGATCCAAGCTTTCTACACCGTATCTGGACTCCCTCTTCAGTAGCAGGAAACAGGCAAGAAGGGAAAAGAGGGACTATTCGCTACTGGGGTTGAGATGTTCCTATGGCCAAAGCCTGATTCAGAGTATTATCAGGGGAGCAGATAAAATGAAAGAGAAGGAAGAAAAGATAAATGAAAAGGCAAACAGAATGGACAGATGCAAAAAGCACACGCCAAAGCTCACAGCCCAGTCCTACCACAGCCTCGCTCAGGCCTGACCACTAACCCAGTGCTCACCTGCACAAAGGAGTCATGCTGGTACAATGTTGCTGAAGAAAAGTGGCTCTGGCTGGGTGTGTAGCTCAGGTGGTAGAGTGCTTGCCTAGAATGTGCAAGGCCCTGATTTTCATCCCCAGTTAGGAAGAAAGAAAGAAAGTGGGGAAGAAAGAAGAAAAGAAAAGAAAAAGAAATGTAAACACTGCTTTAGAATGTCTGGACAGGATGGCCAGTGGGAGAAAGGAGGCAGTGAGAAAGAGAACCAGTCTCAGAGGACCTGAAACTCAACCCAAGGTAGTGCTAACACTGAGGGAGCAGTGGGTACCCTCCACCAGGATGAATTCTTGCTACCCCTTCCTCTAAATGCCCTCCAATAGAGAGCGGGGTCTACCTGGTCAGCCCGCAGGGCTTTTCTCCAAGGCTCAGCCTAGCTCAGCCTCCTCCAGTGGATTTGTTTTCAAGGGGAACAGGAACTGTTGTCAGAGAATATTAATGTGGGATTCCCAATGGCCCAGGTCTGAGAGCAGCTTTCCAGGACACATACAGCTTAATGCTTCCTTCAGCATCAGAACTGGGCCATGAACCTGGGGGCTGCTGTTCTTTGAATCCCAGTTGGGGGAGGGAAAGATCGCTCCACCCAGAATCCATGCCTTCTCATTTTTCCTGCTAAAAATAGCAGTTATCAAAACAGGTTAGTGAGGAATCAGGAAATATGTGTCTGGCCAAAGATATCAATCCCATTGAGCAGGCAGCGGCTTACATCATTTGCATATGTGTCGTATCATTAAAGTGAGTGAGTCAGAGAGACAGAAGGTCTACCAGAACTAGAGATGCAGGTATGTGGTTTTTTTGTTTTGTTTTGTTTTGTTTTTTTGCAGGGCAATTATAGTTTTTACAAAGTGATTCTCTTTCTAAATTGAAAGAATACTTTTAGCTGAGCAGTAGTGATGCGCATCTTCAATCAAAACATTCCAGAAGCAGAGGCAGGTAGATCATTCTGAGTTCGACGGTAGCCTGGTCTACAGAGATAGTTCTAGGACAGCCAAGGCTACACAGAGTATTCTTACAAAACAAGAATACTTTTAATGACTTTTTGTGATCTCCAAGTGAATTTAGAATAGCCTGCAGAGGATTTTAGGCTTGAGTATGGTTATAAATACACACACACACACACAGTGTATATGTAACATATACATACATACATACATACATACATACATACATACATACATACATATATACATACATATCCTAAGGACATACAAGTTTTAAGGGTAGAACTTCAGAGAACATCCGGACCAAAGGTTCTTAACCTTGGCTAAATATGGAATCCCCTGGGAGTATTCCTTGGTTTTTAAATAAGATGCTAGGGACCCGCCTCTAACGATGTCGGTTGGATTGGTTTGGAGTCCAGGTACCGGGGTGTTTTAAAAAACAAAAACAAAAAAATTCCCATGATCATTATACTGTTGTAGCCAGGGAAGCGAACGACCTGTGTAGACCAGTGTTTCACTTTACAGATAGACTCACACACAGTTGACTGATAGCAGAACAGAGGTCGGAGGCTCAATCAGCTATCCCAGCCCTTCTATGTCTCTCTGGGACGTTTGTGAATGAATGCTAAGGCGGGCATAGTGGTACAGACCTATCAGTACCTCTGCACAAAGTCTAGGTCAACCCGGTGTGCTTAGGAAGACCTCCTGAGAAGGGATGAGGGGATGGGGAGGAAACTGAGACTTCTTGTGAGTGCATTTGTCTGTAGAAACCAACGCTCCCCCCAACTCCACCCTCCACCCCTGCACTCTCATGATTTTGTCAGAGCCCAAAAAGGTTGACTTTTCTAACCTGCTCCTCTAAGTTTTCCATCCTAAAGATCTCTGGATTACTGCAGGAAAAACATGGGAAATTCCCCACCCTAGAGCTGTCACCAGCTGCCAATGGTCCCAGGGAAATCCTTGCTCCTTGACTAGATGAAACAGGAGAATGAATGTCAGCATGGGGTGTCGGTGGTGATGTACACATGCATACAGGCACATAGGCACCCGTGTGCAGAGGCCCTCCTATATGCAGCACACAGTCTTCGATCAGAACAGAGCAGTGAGAATATTTACATATGTATGGTAAAAGATCCATGTGTGATTTCATACCCATGTTGATGTTCATGTGACAGTCTGTGTGTGAAAAAAATGTGTATAAATGTATTAAAGACTCTGAAATTGCACCTTAGGCATGCACTGGCACATGGACCTGGAATGGTATACAATATATAAAGCTGAATTCACATTTACATTTACCTGTGATAAAGCACATAGATGAAGACATGTGTGTGGCAGGCTAGCTGTGTGACTGCGACTGGCAGTCGTGTGCATGATGGTGCAGGTTTATGTGTGAGAGAGGTTTTGCCGTTTCTATCACGCTTCTAAGTAATCACTGGGAAATGTATGTGTCGGGAAACAGTATCTTTCATGCTTAAATATGTCTCAGCATATATAAATGAAACATGATACTGTGCCGGGCGAGATGCTGCGTGTTAGTGTTGTTTGTCATTGATAGAATTAAATAATCCATGCAAAGCCCTGGTAGCATTTCTTACAGTTTTATTTAACACTGTTTTGGCCAAACTGCATTTGGCTGGTGCCTATACACTGCAGGTTACCACAATAAATGTGAAATTTGGAGACTATAGCATACAACATGTGAGAAGTATACCAGCAGAAGAGTGTTATCTAGGAATCCCAACGGCCCCACCTTTCCTTGGGCTCCCCTTCTTTCTTTCTTTCTTCAACCCTGGAGGAGGGCCATCCCTTCACACTTTGCTAGGAGACCTCTGCATCTGTGGTAAAGGGAAATAAAGAAAGGGAGGTAAGGATTTAGGGTTTGGAGAGAGATAACACTCCAGGCTCTGGGTCTGGAATGTGTCTGCTCCTCCTAGTCTGTCAGAAGCAAGCCCAAACCCCAGTGTGAGTAACACAGGAAGACCAAGGCAGGCATCTTTCCACTTCTGCAGGCCCTCAGCCTGACTGACCAAGTTACTCATTTAGAAGAGGGAAAACAGATTGCATTTATTAAATTAGTGGCAAATCCTTCCTGAGAAGATTCATCAACTGAGGTCCCTGATTCTTTGTTTAAGAAGAAGCTAAATCCTTGCTGTGGCCCAAATGAGAACAAGCTTGCACCCAGGCACAGACCAGCTCACCTTTGAGAATGAAGGCTGAAGGCCCAGCTTGATGGTGCACACCTTCAATCTCATTCCTTGGGAGAAAGAGGCAGGCGGATCTCTGTGATTTCAAGGCCAGCCTGGTCCATCCAGTAAGTGCCAGGACAGCCAGAGCTACATAGTGAGAACCAGTTTCAAAATAAACAACAACAAAAAAGAATGAAGGTTTAGCCAGGTGTGGTGGCACACACCTTCAATCCCAGGTGGGCCTACAGAGTTCTGAAGAACAAAAAGAAAGAAGGAAGGCTGGTCAGGGGACTTGAATGCTGGCTCCATCTCCATTATTAATCACCTGAGGCAAAGCAAATCTAGCTACTTGGGAAAGCAGGGTCTCCATCTGTAAGGTCAAACTCCAGTATAAGAAAGCGCTGAGAGGAGCCGGGCGTTGGTGGCGCACGCCTTTAATCCCAGCACTCGGGAGGCAGAGGATCTCTGTGAGTTCGAAGCCAGCCTGGTCTACAGAGCGAGTTCCAGAACAGCCTCCAAAGCCACAGAGAAACCCTGTCTCGAAAAACCAAAAAAAAAAAAAAAAAAAAAAGAAAGAAAGAAAGAAAGCACTGAGAGAGGAGCTTAGCAGTCACTGACCCTGAAAAAAAAGTCACATTTTATCCCAGAGAAGATAAATAAAAGACACTTGTAGGTCCTTCCAAATTTGCCCAGGATTCCACATGGAACCTCAACGATCTCCTTGATGTTCTGTTGCTATCACCCATGGAGCTCCTTCCTCCCTCTGCCCATCTTCCTGCCCTTGAAGTTCCTCACAAGACCTTCTGTCCTACATCTCAGCCAGGGAGGTTAAACCTCATTTGAGCAACAACTGGACTCACCCCTACTCTACAAATACTATCATTAGCAGCTAACTAGTCACCGGCACTGTCTTCTCAGACAGCCTCCAGCCTCTCTCCATCAGCAGGGGTGGCAGCCAGCCTGAGTGAGAACAGCTGAATGGCAGCACCAGTGAGTACTGTGTCGTCCTCACACTGCTGAAGTCCAGAAGTTGGCCCTCCAAGGCCGTCTCCTGAGACAATATAGAAAAGAAGATTTTGGATTCAAAATTCGAACAGTAGAAAGTAACACACACACACACACACACACACACACACACACACACACACACACACTCACTCCACAAAGACAAAAGTCATGAATCATCTTCATGACTGAGCATTGCAGCATTAGGTAATTCTCAGAGGCCCAAGGTTTTCAGCCAAATCCCAGGTCTAAGCACAAGGACACTGCATAAATCCCTCCCCTTATGAAAGGCCAGTCTGAGCAGATGGGACCACTCTTAAGTAAACTGGAGAGCACCCCCGCCCTTTGCCGGGCTCAAAAGGAGAGGCAGGGGTCTGGCCTCCCATCGTCAGAGCAGGAAGCCAGCCTAGTGGCAGAGAGGCCGAAGCTGTTAATTCTGCAGCTCATGTTCACATCTCCAAGTTATCTCTCTGGGGGAAGGCATCCATCCCTTTGCTCACACAATCCTCCCTCCCCTCCCTCAGGGGAGGTCAGGCTGGAGGAGGCTGCTCCAGAACAAGTGGTGGCCAGAGGTGAGAAATCAAACAGAGCTTGGAGAGCTGACCTGGCAGGAGGAGGTGAGAAGCAAGGACTCCCTCCAACCCCCATCACAGTTCATGTCCTGACCAGATCTGGGATATCACCTCACGGCCACCCCACTTACTGATAACCACCTCATTAATATTAATTTTAAAAAATGCTGTTAGTGAAGAGGAAAGAGATAAGTAACTAAGCACTCAGTGGAGGTAGAGGGCATCTCACAAGTTCTGTCTCCCCTCAACTGATATAGTACCAACTTTCACCCCAGGCCCTGCCCCTTTCCCCAGGTGCATCGGGACAACATGAGGCAGGTTGATGGAGAAAGAGACAGACTCAGGCACCCCAGGTGTTCACCAAGAAACGCACAGACTGTGAAATTACACCAGGGCTGGACAACTTACCACCACGCATGAACCCTTGGGGTACTGAAATAATTAACTTGCTAATCAGCTACACCTTGTTCTTTCCTTTCTCCCTGGAAAGAGAAAAAATGCAAATCGCCTTCCTATGTCAGTCACTTGGAAACAAATAATGCTTTTGAAGAAAGACACCCTCTGCTCCTGCCCAGACTAAAATGTGTCCTGGTGCATCCTGCTGCTTCTCCAGGCCCACCACTGCCCACCTGGCTTCCAGAGACAGAGGTGCAGGGTTTTTCTGTCCCCAGCAGAGTCTTCCCATCTCTGCTAAGCTTTCTCACTTGGGCCCTCTTTAGCCTGCTTGCTGGCGCTAAACAGCCAAGATCCATGTGGAGAAAAGAGGATTGATTAGAATCGTAATAATAATCCCTGGCATTCGTCCGGCTTTAGTGGTTACAAAGTGTTTTCACACATTATCTCATTCGGTCAGAGGAAGTCGGAGCTGGAACGGACCTTGGCAATCATTTAGCCCAATCCCCTGCATACAGGAGGGGAAACTGAGGCCCAGAAAGGTTGAACAGCTTCTTCAAAGGCAGGGGGCAGTGTGGCCAGGTAGCCCTGCTCATTGTCTAGAACTCTTGTGCTGCCTGAGATCCTCTGAAATGAAGTGAAGGATATAACTAGCTTTTTGCTACGTAACACATAAAAACAACAATTAACAAGACTTGAAAATGAAAGAAAGCTACTCCTGGAAGCAGTGGTCTCTGCAGGGGTAAGAAGAGAGGCCTACAAGGAGGGGAGATGGTGAGTCCAGATGGACATGTTAATCCAAAGACTCCCCCCATGCCACTGTCTCTATGCTCATCCCCATCTCCAGGGGTTTAAAATGTGAACATTATACACTTTGAGGTCCGGGGCTTAATGTGGAGCACACTGGCACGAAGGAGATTTTCTTGAATTCTAATCCGGCACTGACAACGGAGGGCTCACAGCATAATGGGTTTGTATGTGCATGTGTGTGTCCACGCAAATCAGTAGATGTAGCAGTAAAAAACACCCATCTTGACCTTGTACAGGATAATTTGCAAATTAATAGTTCTTTTCCTCCAAGGCTCTAAGAAGGAAAAAAAAAGCTTTCTGAAGAAGGGGACATGTGGATAAAAGACAGAAACCGTAAAATATATATAGGGCAAAAGAAGCCCATATAAACACAGTTCTTCCAGGAACACACACACACACACACACACACACACACACACACACACACACACACACACACACATCCCTGTGAACAGCACATGTGTCCAGCCTTCTTCCTCAGCTTTCCGGGACTCTTAATTTAAAAGATAATACTGCTTTGGTCCTCAGATGCCTGGTCTATTTACAGATGCATTTATAAATGTGCAAGACACCACTTTTGGGTTCCAGGTTTTTAATACATCACTTCTCACCCTTCATCCACCTTCTAAAACAAGTCTCCCTTTGCCTGTCACTAGAACTTCCGTCTGCCCCCATTGCCCAAGCCAGTTGGAAGGTAAGCGGTTCCTTTGTGTGTTCATTTATTACTAAGCCCAACTCTTTTCCCTCTAAAACTCCTTCTTCTCCCTGTTGAGCTGACCATGCTTGTGGATTTATGAAGAGAGATGTTTTAGCAGAAATCCCCCAGAGTGTCCCATCAGCCCTAAATCCCAGGCCCGCTCACCCCCCCAGACCCCATGACACACAGCATGCCAACACGGCTTCCTCTTGCCTATGCATTAGCCATCCATTGTGGCAACCTGACATCTCTCACACATAAAACCGTAAGAGAGAAATAAAATATCTGTCTCTTGGCGAAAATAAAGCTTTGCCTCCCTCCTGATGTATAGGATATAAAATAAAGCCGCGGCTCCAATAGTGGCTTTTCCTTATGCTGGAGTTGCCTTTGCACACACGGAGACAATGAAGACGGATGGTTTGGGACGAGGCCCAGCCTCCTGGGGCCGCCTTCACCCTCTTTTATTATGGTCTCTCTCCACCTCCCTGCATTTTTTCTTTCTTCTTCACTTTCTTTCCTTTCTGGTTTCTATTTGCCTTCTATATGCCCTTCTCTTCTCTGCCCTGAAATTTTATTCCTTTTGCTTGTTTCTCCTTTCTTTCTTCTTTTTTTTCCTCTTAAAGCATGACAGTGATGTTGAGAAGAAGCCACGCATCTCACCTTCTCTAACATGCCAGCCACCTCTCTTGGTCTGCCCATCACCCTCAAACTCCCTCTGGACCTCTAGCCCCTGTAAGTAATACCACTGTTACTGCTTGGGGACTGTTTTGGTCAAATGTACAAATGCCCCCAAGGGGGAATTAAGAATTGTGTTTAGTGGGGCTTTGGGTTGTTTTGTTTTGTTCCACTCCCTTGGAAGCTGTGTCCTCTCCATACCAGTCCCTGAATCTATTTACTTAGCCTCTGAGGAGGCTAACAGAATGACTACCTCACAGGGATGACAGCTGACACTCACCTCCCAAAGGCTGGATGCTTCATCAGCAGACACATTGTGGGCCTTGGATCCTTCAACCAACTCAGCTACCAAAAGACAGATCTGTTTCTCCTCCCCAGTCCTGAGACCTAAGGGTGTGTAGTGGGGGCGCATACTGAGCCTTTTCCATGCCCCCGCAGACTAGAACTGTCACACAGGCACAGAGCATAGCTGCCCACTTGCCTTCCCACGCACTACACACTCTCTCCTACCCAGCAGCAACCGATTCACTCCTCCTTTGTCCCCAGAGACCTCAACCTTGCCACAAGACAACCACTCTGCGGACTTGCGTGTCTGAGCAGGTTTATGCAACTCTACAAGTTTTTCCTCATCCTTGGCCTAGCTCATCCCTTTACTACTCTCTTTTCATCCTTCTCAAGCAGTTTCCCAGATGGCCTAAAGCTCTCCAGCGCTGTTGCTGCCGGGGACTGCAGGACATATCCGTCCTAGGGCCTTGAAGAATACAAGGTGACAGTAGGTGGCTCAGGATCTCCCTTGGGGGAGACCAAGAGAGTCAGGGTTACAGGCTCCCATGTGGGCCATGTCTAGTAGAGGGGTAGTGAGTGGCTTTCAGCTGAGAAACTGTAAGTCCCAGCTTCAGAGCTACAGAAGGACCTCGGTGTGCATGATCTGGTCTCTCTAAGCCTAGAGGACCTTTGCGAACATTGCCCCAAACCTGGACAGGCAAGGCAGTCACATCTGTTGAACTGCATCCAACAATGAGTGAGGTGCTGAGGATAACGGATTAGAGCAGCCAACTTCAGAGCAAACGCATCCTCAGTCCCAAAGGCTGTTAGCTTTGGGGTCTTTCTCCCTCCCTCCCTTCCCACTTGATATCTCTCCAGATATCAGCAGTGACCACCACCATTAGGTAAGGGGAGAGAGTCAATTAGTGACAGGATTAATTACTCTGAGGCAGGAGCCCCGTTTGTCTTCCTTCCGGGTGTGTGTGTGCTCAAACAGAGGAACATGGGCATGCACCCAAATACACATTGTTGTCACGCTGTCTTAGACGTTTTATTTATTTGTTGGATTCCTGCCCAGTGCTGCTCACACGCTTTCCATAGGCGTTAAGTTCCCTACCAAACAGGCTACAACCTCCTTTTCTCCTGCCCAGGAATGTGCCTGTCACACGCACAGCACACTTACACACTTAGGTCCCAATGGAAGGCCCTGCCTGGAAGCTTCAGGATTCTCAGCTTCGCAGCCCCCCACACACTTTTTTTTTGGACACTGTCTTATTCTGTAGCCCAGGCTTGCCTGGACACCACTTGAACTCAAGTAGGGGGACTACAGGAGTGAACCACCACAAAGGGTGTCTTTTTCATTTCGTGCTTCACTCTTCCATGTGTTTCTCTTGACACATCTTCCCTCAATTCACACCCTCTTGCTCCTTCTGCATGCTTTCTCTCCTTCCTGCCTCTTCTGGTCACTTCTGTCGCCATCAGGGCACCACTACCATTGCTCAGCGGCTGAGATCGGGACGCTCACCTCTAACCAGCCCCCTCCCCGTGCTTAGAATCCACACACAACACCAGCCCTCGTGGGAAGCCCGGTTTCCCTAGGCCAGGTGCACACCGTGACATCCCTTTCCTCTATCATTGCCCAAGCTCAGCCTCCCGGAGCCAAGTGCGCCCTGGAGCACCGTTGAAAGGCCCACCTCCCGCAACTTCTCACCCTCAGTAATACGGTGATAGGAGCAGGCGCCCTTGCTTGAATTGGTGTTCCTGTCTGGGAAAGTGTAAAGAATAAAAATCTGTCTCCCCCTTCTACAACTCCCTTACTATGCTATTTAGGAGAGACAGCAATATAAACTAGAAAAGTACTGCATATTAAGAGCATGAACCTCGAGGGAGGACAAGGGAAGGAGGCTCCAGCAGAGCTGTTCCCGAGTTGCATAAGCTGGATCTTCACGGGTCTGTGCAGAGTTAGTGTGGCTTCAGATGGCAAGGGTCTAAGGTGCAGTTAGCCGGCTCCTTCTTTCCTCGCCTCTAGACCTATGCTGCTGGATATACCGGGTTTTGTGACTGGCAGCCCTAGAAGCCTACTGTGGCTCGGCCTCCTCTCCCTTTTCTGGGGATCATGGTCTGAACCAGAGGAAGGAAGCGGCTGCGCTGGGAATTAAATAGCAACCCACAGTGACTAAGAAAGAACGGTAGCGGCCCCTGGTTGGTGGGAAACACCCCAGACTGGGGGACTGGGTGTGGAGGGTATGGGTTCAAGGGCTCTGGACCCAGGAGACAAGGGAGATCAGTGGATGTGTGAGCAGGAAAGGCTGGAATGGAGGGAGAGACCTCTATTCGAGCTGATTCTAGGAAGGCAAACCTGGACGGTGGAAGCCACTATTTGGACCCTCTGGGACCTTTTCCTGCGGTGTCTTGGGAGTCGGGTGGAACGGATTTTGTGATCGCTGAATGATGGCCAGTCGTCCAAATTGAATCTCAGGACAGACGCCAGGGTCTAAGTGGCTGAGGGTCTATGTGACTTTGAAGGATGGAGGGTAGTAAAACGGGTGTACTTGAGATCGTGGACTGCCCGGTGGTGTAGGTCAGGAGGGAAGGTTGGGAATCTTCAGAGGTCATGTATACACACGCAGAGCCGAGCTCAGTGGAATCAGAGATGGTGGATTTAGAATACTAGCTCAGTTTTCTCTCCTTGTCTCCACTACTGATTACAGTTTCAAAATAAGAGCTCAATGGAAACGATGGGAAAAAAGAAACCATTAGTCCTGTGTGCTATCACCGCAGAAGCGTTAAATATGAATTTTAAACAGAATCAAGGAGCCAAGAGCCATGTCTTGCATTGCGCTCGCTCGTTGACACACACACATCCCAGAAGCCGGAATTGGATCGGCGACCGGTTTCCTTCAGCATGTGGACACCGAGACATGCAGAACACTATGCCCTAGAACCAGAGTCCTGTCTTCGCCCAACTCCCGTCCTCTAAAAGAGGTCCTTCCTCCCACACCATGGCCTCAACGTCGTTACGCCCCAAATCAATAAAACAGCTTCTCCCCGACTACCGAAGGAGGATGCGAGTCAGAAACGGCGGGCAACGGAGACCAGGGGCGCCCCACAGGTTCCCGCCACAATAATTTCTTAGTTGCCCCCTCCCGGGTCCCTCTGCTTTTCATGTGAAGTAGCCCAGCCGCTCCGAGTGTGAGCCACCCGGGACCTGGGCGACTATAGGCTCCTGAGAGGGGCGGTTGAGTCCCGGGCGGTAGCAGCTCTAGCTCTCGAGCAGTTGAGGGTGGAGAGCTTGGGGACCGATGGTCCCTTCTTTTTGGCAGCCGCTTGGGAGTCGGGGTAATAGAGAGATCCCGCACTCCGCTGCACTCGGCACGTCCGGGGTGGGTGAGTGTGTCACAATTCTTGACACTGGTCGATTTGTTCTAGGAAGTGTCGGGTGCGCAGGAAGATCCCGACCCCCAGTCGAACCCGCAGAGCCCGCCCGATAGGTGGGAGGATCGCCTTCTAACCCCGGCTCAGCCCTGAGTCTAAGCCTAGAAAAAAACAGGACAGGGGTTGTTGTGTGAGAGTTAACCAGCCTGACTGAGCTACTTTGGTCCACTGCTGCTCCACCCGAGTGCGTATGGGGTACGGAGAACGCACTGAGGTCTGATGTTCAGAGGTGGCGGTGGGGGCAGATCGCCGAGGAGGCGTGTGAGGAAGGCCTTGGCGGGTTGGGTTTACAAACCAGAGATCATGCCGGTGGGAAGGCAGAGCTGTTGAAGAGCCGGTAGGTGCGAAAGAAAGCAGGAAAGGGGACGTTAGCTCAGCCCTAAAAACTAACAATGCCATCCAACACAAACCAAATTCGTGGCAGCTTCTCTCTTCGCTGGAAGAGGGTATTCTGTGTGTGGACCCGGATTCACTGCCGGTTCAACTGCATTTCCGCGCCCCTTTCTCCTAATTTAGCCCTGTGAAAGATCTGTCGGGTGTATAGATGAAGTAACTTAAAAGACATATTCTGAAATACCATCTAGGTATGGCTGCAGGGACACCCTTATTATCTCCCAAATTTGATCAAATGGGTCTTCCTAGCATCTCCCCCAAATAGGGAGCAAAAGTAGCACGGCTTTGAGATCAATTTGGATTAAGCTTAAGAAAAAATTCAGTCGCCACAGTTAACTTGAGTGCTCCTGGGAACCAGAATGACTTAAAAGTTCAAGCCCTCAGGACCATCATCCGACTCACACGCCTAGGCAGATCCGCCCCCGCCCCCGTAGGCGGCGGTCATGAGTTTATAACGCTATAACTCGGACAAAATTAGGAACGTGTTTTATTCCTAAAGAGTGTACTCGGGTAGGTATGGTCCGCAGATGTGTGAAGAAAACGAACTAGCTGGAAGCCCAGAAAAGGGAAGGTCTGGGAGCCAGGCTACTCTGCCAGCGCGCTGCACGCCTCCCTCCCTGCAGCCAAGGTGCAGTCCCCCGCGGCTACCACCTCCCCCAGCTGCGGGAGCCCCGCGGTTTCCCACCTAGTCATTTGTTTTTGTTTGTAAAAGGTGTCTCCGGATCACAATTTTCTCACAACTTCTCGCCAGAGTTGCAACTCCTCACCCGAAGCGCTTTCCCCACCCACTCCTTCTCCCACCCTGGCGCCGCGCCTCCGGTTTCCCCCACCCCCATCAGGAAATCGCCCGCTTCAACTTTCCAAGACAGCGCAGCGGGAGATCCACACTCGTGTCTCCCAGACACCCTGCCGGGTGGACTTTGGATGGACTGGGGGAGGGGGCGCCGAGAGACAGAAGGGAGATTAAACTGCCAAGCGCCCCCTACCTTTCCAAAGACTCGAGCTGTGCCGGGGGCAATTTCCAGGCCAAACGAGCAAGAAGGGCCGGGCTATCAACACCTGAATTGCAAAGCTGTGTACCTAGGCCCTCCCCCCAAGCTTCCAGATCCAGTTGCACACTAACACCAGTAAGGCTTTTTTGGGGGGACACGGGGTAGTTTTGACTTTACCCTCCCACCGAACTCGGGCCTCCTCCCGCCAACTTTCAATCCCTGACACTGAAGCCAACGCCTTACCCAACCTGGAAGGGACTAGGACATCTCTCTGCCAGTCGCCGGCACCGCGCGGGGCCACCGCCACTGATCCTCTAAACGCGGTGTCCCCGCACTCTCCCCGGCCGGGGGGGAATGCAGAATGGTTTACAGAGGGACCGCGAGGCGCTGATTGGTCGCAGTCCGCCGTGACGTCGGCGGGCGCTGCATTAAGGCGAGGGGGCTTCCAGGGCTCAGTCAACAGCCAGGAGCAGTGACCGAGCCGCTGGAGCTGGGGAGAGACGCGCCGAGGACTGGGCCAGGAGACCGGAGACGAGGGACTCGCGCCCTGGGAGAGCCAACAAGGAACCCGCGGGCCGGACAGCGACACCGGCTAGCCGCGCCGAACTGTTCTAGCCGCTGGCCTTCTGTAGCCGCTGCATCAGGACATTATTCTAAAGCTCTTCAAGACGCCCCCTCCCCTGACTCCTCCCGTTGTACGAGGAAAAGAAAAAGAGAGGGGAAAAGGAGACTAGAAAGAAAAAAACTGACTTGCCACCACAACAAAAGGGGGAGGGAGGAAAAAAAGTCGAGCGACTGTGGGGCTGAAACGCTGGCAGCGGGAGCGTGGGCCGAGCGATGCGGGGCTGCGCGCCCAAGCGGCCGCGAGTTGTGACTGAAGGCAGGATGCTCGGCCAGGCGCGGTGAAGAGCCAGACTACATTGCCTCCCCGAAGGCGTCCAGGCGCAGGGAGGGCCGCTCCGAGGACGCGGAAGGCCGCCTGGGCAGGCCAACGGCCGAGGTGACAGGGCTGGGGCGGTGGGGAGCGATCCAGTGCGCCCGGCTGCATCCGCCCGAAGTTGTCCCTTTTCATTCTTGCGTGGCAAAAACCCTTTCCAAAGGGTGGGGGGAACCTAAACATCAACTACAATCAACAAATCTCCTACCCAACCTGCCCTCTCCCCCACCCCTCGGCCTGCCCCCGCCCCCTCCCCAGGCCCAGCGCGGCGCCCACACCGTCCCGCCTCTGCAAGAAGCCGAAGATGTAGGATCCAAAGCTTTCTACTCCTGTGTTCCTTTCTTTCCGTTTTTGTTTTTTGTTTTTTTCCTTTTTTAAAGGGAAAAACCCGGTGGTAGGCAGTCTTGGCGCGCACACACAGCCTGCCTTCATACTTCGACAAAACCGATGCACTTTGACTTCTGACAGCTCTACCTCAAGCCGGAGAGAACCCAGCGTCGCTTTCTCGAATCCCGAGCTCTTGGCGTCTTCCTTTTAGCCAGTTCAGTTTTATTTATTTTTGTCCCGCCGCCTTTCTCGGTGACCTTCACTCCTTCTCCGACGTTGGGCAGAAGAGCCGCTTTCTTGCCCGCTTGAGACTGGTTTTCCTCTCCCAGTGAGCTGAGGTGGCGCTGCTCCACCCCACCGCGGCCCTGGGATTCTCAAGCAGCCCCCTACCAGCCTGGTCTGCCCCCCTTTTGATTTGCTGATGCGGGCTTTTGCTTGCCCGGCTTGAGCGGGTTTCTTTTTGGAGGAGCTGGGGAACTCAGGCTGGTTGTCTTCAGGAATCATCCCCTCGATTCCACTTGCCCCGCCGATCCGAGCCTCACCGGACCAAACCAAAGACCATGGTGCACTGTGCGGGCTGCAAAAGGCCCATCCTGGACCGTTTCCTCTTGAACGTGCTGGACAGGGCCTGGCATGTCAAGTGCGTCCAGTGCTGTGAATGTAAATGCAATCTGACCGAGAAGTGCTTCTCCCGGGAAGGCAAGCTCTACTGTAAAAACGACTTCTTCCGGTGAGTACTTCCCTCTTCCCTCCCGTGCCTCCGCTGCTTCCTCCCCACGGGCCTTTCCTGGCCAGCTTCGGATCAGAGGTCAGCGTGGCCACGGCAGGAGCTGCGTTAGGAGCTGCCTTTTCACTCGGGCAGCCAGTTCCTCCGTCTTCTACCTCTTAGGAAGCTGGCCTGCCGAGATATTTGTCCTACTTGGTGCTGGAAAGTGTGGTCCGGGTTTGGCTGCAGGTGCCTGGGAAGAAAGGGTCTGAGCCGTCTCAGATACCCCTCCAAGTCGCGGCAGAGGTAGAGCAGTCTCAAGTCTGTAGCTCTCGCTTGCCTTTTCCCGAAGCCAAGCTCTCCAGCAACCAACTACATTTTCCGGGCCTCCCACATAGCTGCTCCTCCAAGTTGAGCTTAAAAACTCCAGCCTTATTCCTGCCACTGCCTTTTCCTTCTCTGAGAGGTCTTGTCCGAACTGCGGAGTCCCAGTGGCCTAAAAAGCCGCAATAAAGAGCCCGCTCTTGAGGTCAATCCTGTGTGCCTGGGGTCTACAAACATTGATTGGCCTATAAGGGTAGACCTGGGAGAACCGTACCGTGCTGGCCTCGGCCCAGTGTCCCGCACCGCTCTTCGTGGCCTTTCCAGCCCATGCCCCACCAGGAAAGCCACCTCTTGGCGAACACGCGGCTCGTTAGAGCCAGCAAAATTCTTTTCTGTTTACTATTTTACTTTGTATTTTATTAAACTTATTATTTGCCACAATCACAACTCAAAAAGAAGATGACCTCAAATGCAAATTGTATTTTCCGCTGTTTTGAAATCCCACACTTTACTCCGCTATTTTAGTTTTGGTTTGTGAGAATTGAGTGAACCTGGGAAAGAGTTTGAAGCCACCGGGCCTCCTTTGATCAAAGGCCCAGTAGTGATTCTGGATGCGCGGCTCGTGTTTGCGAAGGAACTGCGAAGCAAAGAGCGGTGCGAGCCGCTACTGCGGAAAGGCCGAGCTTTAGGGCTTCCGCAGACTGCTCGGGTTTTTCACTCTGCGCGGACTGGATCCGAGCAGGAGAGCGCAAGCTACGCCGGCTTCTGGGGCTCTCAAAACCTCGCTAGCGGCAAAGCTCAGCAGGGCACCTTAAGCCTCCTCAACCCGGCTGCGACTCCCACTTGCGCCAATCTGTCAGGCTTTTGCGCACGAACATGGCAACTGCCCAACTACAGCCACCAAGGCTCTCAGAGTCAGTGTTTGTTTACTCACGGCAGGATCGGACTTTGCCAACCCCCCACCTGTGCTCAGGTCCTTTTGTGGTGAAGGACAGGCAGCGTAGAGCGGGACATTTCTACGGAGCTCTTAACTCGAATTTGAATCTAATCGGGAAATGGGTGCTCGGTTTCCCTTCTGCTCTTGTAGCCACTTGGAAACCTTTTCTCTCGTCGCTTTTTGCCCGGGGATGTCTAGGCATAAGGTTAGGTAGGGGGCAGTTCGTGTTTTCCCTCCCTTTTCCGTGATGTTCAGTGTTCTCTCCTGCTTCCTCACTTGTTTAATTTTTTATTTATGTTTAGTATTCATATATATTTAATAATTTTATATTCATATATATTTAATAATTTTTGTATTAATTTTCTCTTCCTCTCCCTCAACTTCTTCGTTTCGTGGTCCTTATTTCACCGGGTCTCCTGTACTTCTCCCTAACCTCGGTCCACCCTATGAAGATGTTTCGGTACCAAATGCGCAGGCTGTGCGCAGGGCATCTCTCCAAGCGATCTGGTTCGGAGAGCACGAAGCAAGGTGTTTCATCTCAACTGCTTCACCTGCATGATGTGTAACAAGCAGCTCTCCACCGGAGAGGAGCTCTATATCATCGATGAGAACAAGTTCGTTTGCAAAGAGGATTACCTGAGTAACAGCAGTGTCGCCAAAGAGAACAGCCTCCATTCTGGTGAGGCCAGGATTCCCAACTGGCTAGAGGGTGGGTATGGGGGAGGAAAGCCATCCAAAGTCCCTGCTCACCAGCCCTTTCTCTCTCCCCAGCCACCACAGGCAGTGACCCTAGTTTATCGCCCGATTCCCAAGACCCATCGCAGGATGATGCCAAGGACTCTGAAAGTGCCAACGTGTCAGACAAGGAAGGCGGAAGCAATGAAAATGATGACCAGAACCTAGGTGCCAAGCGCAGGGGACCCCGAACCACGATCAAAGCCAAGCAGCTGGAGACATTGAAGGCAGCCTTTGCAGCTACACCCAAGCCCACGCGACACATCCGTGAGCAACTGGCCCAGGAGACTGGCCTCAACATGCGTGTAATCCAGGTCAGAACCCTAGTTTGCCACTTTGCCATGTGAGCCTGCCACCCAAAGATTCCCATGGTCGCTAAGGGAACCTAGGCTGAGCCTGGGAGAGCGCAGAGTTTTGAGGGTAGTGGAAGAAGTGAGTGGGACTGGAAAGGGCTGCCCTGATACACTGGAATGTGAGAGGAGAGCCCACAGAGGCTAAAGGGAAGGGAGTGACTTGGGAGCACAGACTAAAGCTGGCGGAAAGCTCAGTGTCCAACATCACAATGACAACAGCATCCATCTTTCTGTACACACCCTGTCCCTCTTTCACCCTCGTCAAGGAGCCAAGAGGTGGCTGTGGGTTCCAGAGTCATCCAGTTCTGCTTTCTGCACAGCAAGCTCTCCCTCTAATTCCCCGACCCCAAAGTTGTGAGTTTTGTGCCCCAGTTTAAAAACCTCCAGAGCAGAGGCTTGCCCTCCCCAAGCAGACGGGGCGCCCTGAATTTGTGGGAAGTTGACTCTGCCTAGATGCAGCCTGGAACAGAATGAGGAGACTAAGCCTTCTGCAGAGAGCTGGGTCTCTGCTTGGGAAGAGACCAGATAGAGTGTGTCTCAGACACCAGGAGTCTGCCCATACCTATACTGTGTGTCTAATCAAAGTTCCTGGAGACCTGGTGAGGGTGTCCAAGTGTTGGACAAGGGTAACTCTGGGAGGCTGTGTGGACTTGTGCTTATGAATGTGGGCTTGTGTCACTCACTGTTGATGAGAGGCTGTGGCTAAGTATATTTGGCACTTCGAGATTTTGTGTGGGTGTGAAAAGGAGATTGTGGGTTTTAGTGTCACTACCCTTGGGAAACAATCAGCAAGAGACTTTCTGTGTCTCTGTCACTATCGTGATATGGGGATAAGGAGCAACAAGAGACTCTGAAAGGGAAGTTGTATATGTGACACTATTTTGAAGAGTTTCAGTATCTATGATCTCTAAGATAATATAAAGCTAAGAGTGTGTTTTCTGGGAGTAGTGGGAATACAAAAGTTAGACGTAGCAGTAGTCTTCTCAGATCCCCTTCTTGGGAATCCTGCGCACCAGTCCTATTCAGAAACACACACACACACACACACACACACACACACACACACACACACACACACACACCAAGGGTTATCAGGGCAGCCAGCGGAGGGGTGACCTACTAGACCCCGTTGAACACCGCCGGCGTGTCAGTGGGGTCTCCACGGTCTCACTGCATGCCTGTGTGCTCCAGGTCTGGTTCCAGAATCGACGTTCCAAGGAGCGAAGGATGAAGCAGCTAAGCGCCCTGGGCGCGCGGCGCCACGCCTTTTTCCGCAGTCCTCGCCGGATGCGACCGCTGGTGGACCGCCTGGAGCCAGGCGAGCTCATTCCCAACGGCCCCTTCTCCTTTTACGGAGGTGAGTGTGATCGAGTGGCGAGGCGAGGCCCAGGACGAACGGGCTTCGCTGGAAGCGGGTAGCAGCGCCAGAGGTATCTCTGGCTTTCTATTGAGGTGTTGGGGCAAAGGCCAGGAGCAAGTCAGGGGCAGTGGCGGAAGTCCCAACCCCGGTAAGGAGAGGGTCCCGGTAAGGAGCAGCTCCGAGTTTTATGCCAAGTCTCCTTCCTGCTCCGGCGTCTCATGAACAGCCAGTTTTCCCGAGCTACCTTGAGATGCCCGCTGGCAGTCCCTTCCTGCCCTGTGGGTCTCACTAGACCGGGGGTGGTTCTCTGACATCCTTCCCTTCCCTCCTTACTGGTTGGCAGATTACCAGAGCGAGTACTATGGTCCCGGGGGCAACTACGACTTCTTTCCGCAAGGACCACCGTCCTCGCAGGCCCAGACACCAGTGGACCTACCCTTCGTGCCATCATCTGGGCCTTCAGGGACGCCGCTGGGAGGTCTGGACCACCCGCTGCCTGGCCACCACCCTTCCAGCGAGGCGCAGCGATTCACCGACATCTTGGCACATCCCCCAGGGGACTCGCCTAGTCCTGAACCCAGTCTGCCCGGGCCTCTCCACTCCATGTCAGCGGAGGTCTTCGGGCCCAGTCCACCCTTCTCATCTCTGTCGGTCAATGGCGGGGCCAGCTACGGGAACCACCTGTCCCATCCTCCTGAAATGAACGAGGCAGCCGTGTGGTAGCGGGCCTTGCGTGGGCCACGGGAGCTCGTGGTTGTACAGAGACGAGCTTTTATTTAAGAAAAAAAACTTATATTAAAAAAAAAAAAGGCAAGCCTCCTGCTCCACTTCTTCCAGCCTCGGGGACCATTCTCAGTTTGTGGAGACTGGTTGGCAAAGGGGGTTCAAAATTGGATCCAAAATCCGCCTCACGGAAGACCTGGGATATCCACACACTGGCTGGCAAAATGCAAAACTGAGGCTCCAGAAGGGGAGTTCTCCGCTATCCCTATGTTCCACCTGGGTCTGGATCCGTGGACAGATTCCACCGGCGGTTCCTCTGCTAGCGGGAAGACATCTTCGACAGCTGCAGCCCCGCACGCACAGACCTGGATAGTACCAGGAGCCTAGAGAGGGAAACCTAGAGGCACTCAGCCGGGTGAGGGAGGAGAAGCTGTCAGGGGCGGTCCAGTCAAGAGAGTCCTAGTTCTGGGAGATCTTAGTGTTGTCTGGGAGTTCAGCGAAGACAACAAACTCTTAATAGCTTCAGAAACACCGACCTGCTGTGCATCAGGTGGGACTATATATATATATATTTTTTGTCTATCCGGGTTTTTGATTTTTGTTTTTGCCAAAATTTCAAAATTCTAAATGTAAAACCCTCAGTATCAACTCTTCTACCTTCACAAATCTCTCTGTGTCTCCTCTCTATCTCTTTGATCTCTCTCTCTCCACACACACACACACACACACACACTCATTCACACTCACTCACTCCACAGAATGGGCTCCAGCCACACCTCTCAGTAAAATGACTTGAACATCACCTCTACAAAAAAAAAAATGTACTCTACCTTCACATGAAAGTTTAAAAAAAAAGACTATTGAACTAAAACAGTCAACTGTTTACGTATAATGTTAAATTCAGGAGTTCAGTGTTTTACTAATATATCCTGTTTTGAAACCTCTTGTTCAAAAACAATGTTTTGAGCAATCAACCAAAATTGTTCCTTTTCTTTTCCTGTAGATGTTCTGACTGATTTGCAGGGCTTTCGGCTCACTGTGCTAGTATGTAAAAAAAAAGGTGTTGTTTACACGAGGCAAAGGAAAACCATGATATTCAGACAGTTGCCAAATAGAATAAATTATAGCACAAATACTGTAATGGTGCCTGGCACCAGCAACTTGAGAAAGTGTTTAAAAAAAAGTGTTACAAGGTTAAAAAAACATCTTTGCTAATTTTTAGTCCTGTTGAACATTCATGAAATTGTTAATATGACTTATATAGACCCACACAGGTTTTATTTTTGTGTCTTTAAAATAAAAGTCCAAAATATTTAAATTTTATGGTCAAATATGCAGTCAACAGCTGCTACTTTTTTCTTTATATATTAAATTTCTCATATGTCTTTTATTGTTCTAATAAACCTAAGCTTGTGTGACCTCCAGTGCATATTAGACCATTCACTGTATGAAAGAAAACATGTTGAATAAATTTGTGAGTTTTTAATAAAAATAGAAAACCTGATGTTTAGATAATTGGTGTGGTATTCCATGTTTTCAGCATTTGGACGGAAGTCCCAATAGAGTGCTGAAGCCAGTAGGAAGGCAAACAAGACTGGGGTGATCTGTTTTCACCTTGACTAGTTGAAACCCTCTGCCAAGCTCTCTTCTGCGTCCTGCTGTTACTAAATGCAGATTTGCATTCTGATGGAGTTAAAGAGATATTTGCTATTAAGTTAATATAGAATTGGAAATCAAATCCATGACTAAAAAGCGCGTGGTGTGGGTCTGTGATTGGGTGAGAGAGCCTAAGCACCCCATCTCCTCCCTGCTCTTGCAAGCCAGGCGTGTGAATGTCAGGTACTTGCAAATATATAGTTAGACCTGGTCTTTTTCAGAGCCTCAACTCATTTTCCACAGATAATCCTGCTTTCTAATTTGGTGGGTTGAAAATAACCTAAAACGAAAATAAAGTATAACTAGGAAAGAAATACTTTAATCCCTTTCACAAAACTGATATGAAATTGTTATTGGATGGTATTTGCTACATTTGAAGTTCCCCAAAGGAAAACTATTTTGTCTGGCATAAGATACATATTAAGTTTCTACAGAAGACGAACAAAAATAACTAATATAGGAATCAAATTGCAACTGGGAGTTGCCAATAGATATAGGATCTTGAGACTAGTTCAATCCCATCCAAACAAACCTTCCTTAGAAATGGAAGAAATATGAACATTTTCTTCTATGAAATACTAATGTGTTGGTGTATGAGTGTTTTAATATCAGGACCCCAGGGTTTCTTTTTCCTAGGCTTCATATTGCCTAGGTTTCAGTCCGAATTATTCCTTATTTTAAAAAAATCAAGCATTTTACATTAAATTGTACACAATTTCCAGTACCGCTATCCCTATTTTGTTAAGACAGATACAAGTTTATCTTTCCCGCAGAAAAGGCTTTAGAGTGCGCAATATTTCACAGCACCCCTTCGATGGTTTATCTAACTACAGACTATCAGGGAAGAATCTGGCAGTGTTCTTTCAGAAATAAAGATTTATAAAATACAAGGGGGATTTTGGAAACTCCTAGCCGCTGCATACAGCGAATTTTCTTAATATGAAATCACTGGGTCTGCGTGTTTTCCCCTTTTACCATTTATAAACTTCAAATCATAGCTAACATTCATTATAGCCACCACCCTGGAACCCTCCCCCTTAAAGACATTCATTTAACTGAACGTATGCTCATCGGGAAGTGGCATTTTCCTATCAAGGGTACTGAATTATTTAGCAGCTTTATTGTGCTAACGGAGTATTTGATAAGAAACGCTTTAAGAGTTGAGCAGGCAGCGTGGATTCAATTCTTCAAACTCCGTGGCAGTGGCGCGGTCGTTTCCCTTGGCGGGCCATTGTAAAACCCAGTGAATACCGGAACAGGTGGTAGTGCTCAGCAGTCTAATCTGGAATCCAGTGCCTGGGGAGGAAGAGCAATGGCAGTGGCTGGGTTGCTTTCACAACCGCTGCAGCGCCTCTGGCTCAGAGGTGCCCGGAGCCATTCCTGGAGAGACTGCCAGCAAGGAGGAAAGTGCCCTTTGGTCCCCTATTGCCTCCTCCCATCTGAGAGGGAACCCTCCTCGAGTTGAATTTGGCAAGCACTTGTTTTCCTCAAGCCATCTTAAAGCCCCCACTTCTGTGCCTCCAGGTACCTCTAATCAGGGTTCCAGTCTGAGGGGGCTCCTGTCTAAGCTGAGAAAGGACTCAAAGCTCACCTACTCAACTTCTCCCGTGTTTTGATGCCAAGGCCAGGCAAGAAGGCAGGTGATTTAGTGGAGAGCTGAGACAGGCTCTGTCAGGGGTCTGGGACAGGAGGCTGATGTTGTTTAAGATGATTGACAGGTCAAAATCTGGTTTCTCTAAACTCTTGAAACTGGTTGTTTCTGACCATTGGAGGGAGGTGTCTAACTTATCACTTCTGCCCATCCATGACCGTTGATGCCACTTTGCAGCTCAGACCAAGGGAGGCAAATCCCAAACCCCTTCTGTCTTTTCTCCAGACAACAAAATGCTCACCTTTAAGCGCCCCTCAGCTCAAACTATCTGATCTCCATCCTAGAACTCTTAAAGGCTAAAATTTCTTTAGGAAGCTATATTGGTCCCTTCCCCACACACACCCATCTCCAATCCCACTCTTCCCTAGTTTGGAGACCTTCAAGCACCTCTCAAAACTAGAATGCAACTGGAGAAGCAGTTCCAGATAATTTGAATGGTCTCTCTCTTGCCCTATCTATGCCTCAACTTCCCTTAGTTGTACCTTAAGCGTTATCATTGGTCTTCTTCATCTCCCTCCAGAAATTCATGAGGCAGGAAAGCGGGGGTAGCAATTTTGTGGAGCCTAGGATATATGTGGCAAGAGTAAAGTGCTCTTGACTCCTTCCTAAAAATAAGTCAGGGACAGCGAGGGCAGGGGAATTGGTAAGTAGGTTTGTGTCACCTTATGCTTGAGTTTGCTTAGCTTGGCTGGCCACAAATAGGCCAGCAGTATCCTGCATGCGTAACAGTTTCAAGATAGTCTCCAGCCCCACATTGGTGGCTCATGCCTTTAATCCCAGCACTTGGGAGGCAGAGGCAGGTGGATCTCTGAGTTCGAGACCAGTCTGGTCTACCAAGCGAGTTCCAGGACAGTCTCCAAAACAATACAGAGAAACCCTGTCTGAAAAGCAAAAAAAAAAAAAAAAAAAAAAAAAAAAGATGGTCTCTGCCTTGCCTCCCTTTTCACTTAACTCTTTTCTCTTTACCTTTAAGGACCGGTTCTTAGAGTCTGAAATAGCAAGAGAAGGGGACCTGGCGGGTGCAATTTACTAAATGTGGGGTGGGAGAACATTTTTGTTCTTTATGCTCATGGCAATGGTACCCTGTAGAGGACAGAGGAGCACATTTTTAAATAATTATTTTAAAGACTTTATTAAGTATTCAGGTTCTGTCTGCATGTATGCCTGCCTGCTAGAAGACAGCACCAGACCTCATTGTGGATGGTTGTGAGCCACCATGTGGTTGCTGGGAATTGAGCTCAGGACCTCCAGAAGAGCAGTTGGTGCTCTTAACCTCTGAGCCATCTCTCCAGCCCCAGGAGCACATTTATGTTTTTTAAAATCTTTTGTTTTATTTTTGCTATGGAAGCTCTGATATAGGCACACGACATGACAGCATTCACAGACAGCACACTTAAAAGCAAGCCCTCTAAAGTATTCAGTAATACAGAGATTTTCTTTGCCTCGGTCTCTGATCTGACCTTCGTTTCTCTCCATGTTTGAAAGGCTCTACCCTAAGACAGTCTCTGTCTCTCTTTTGAAGCTCTGGTCATCTTCACTCAAGAGTCACTTAGGACAGAGACATGGGGCAGGCTACACCAAAGGAGTAGTCTCTTTTGCCTGACTCTGAGGATCTCTGAAGACTCTGAGTCAGGGATTGTCTTCCTGTGGGTTCCACTAGGAGCTACCAGTTGCCTACATTGATCTGCCTTTTGGGATCCAACAGACCAGGAGCATAATTAAGAAATGGCACTGGGCTGGGTGTAGAACTGTAAGAGTTCCTGCACAAAGCTCGGACGCAGGCAGATCAAGGAATTCAAGGCCATCCTCAGCTGCTGCATAGTGTATTTGAGGTCAGCCAGGACTAGAAACTGTGTCAATGGATAAATAGGTACAAAGTATGTCACAGTGTATTACTCATGTGTTCTTCTTCAAGGCAGGGTGGCCTTGGCTGTTTCAGAACTTGTTCTGTAGACCAGCTTGGCCTCGAACTCAAAGAGATCCTCATCTGCCTCTGCTTCCCAATTAAAGGCCTGTGCCACCACTGCTGGGTCTACTTATGTCTTTCCAAGAAAGTCCCTTTTTTTTTTTTTTTTTTTGGTTTTTCGAGACAGGGTTTCTCTGTATTGCTTTGGAGGCTTGGAGGCTGTCCTGGACTCACTCTGTAGACCAGGCTGACCTCGAACTCACAGAGATTCACCTGCCTCTGCCTCCCGAGTGCTGGGATTAAAGGCGTGAGCCACCAACGCCCTTTTTTTTTTTTTGTAATTTATTGTGTATACAGTGTTCTGCCTGCATGTATCCTTGAGTGACAGAAGAGGGCACCAGATCTCATTACAGATAGTTGTGAACCACAGGTGGTTGCTGGGAATTGATCTCAGGACCTCTGGAAGAGCAGTCAATGCTCTTAACCACTGAGCCATCTCTCCAGCCCATCGTTTCAGTTCTTGTTTGCTGCTCTTCTGGGCTGATCAGTGTGTGGAGAATCCAACTTACTCATCCTGCATTTCATCTAGCAATGCCTGCCACGTAGTGGGCAGTCAAGGGACGCTCCATGAAGGAAAGAGAATGTAACATGATTGCATATCTTCATTTTCTGGGTGCAATTAAATTGATCTCATTAAGGCCTTTATATTTTACGTCTAACCATCTAATGTTAGAACTGAGTGAAAGTTTCTTTTTTTGCATTTGTTCATCGGTTTCGGGGGTTGGAGTCACTCTTTAAACAGTAATGCTATTAATATCGAGAAGTGTGTAGTAGAGTAATTTAAACCCCTTGCACCCATTTGCTCGCCCTGGCAAGGGGGTACAAGAAGGTACAGAAACGGATCTTGACTTGCGGTACAACCATCGCAAAACCTAATTATTCCTATTAATAAAGGTAACACTTGGCCGCACATTTACAAGTACAGGCCTCTCAGATCCTGGCTGCTGAGAGATGGAAAGTGTGTGCCCGGTCCCAGTCTCCTCCACATTGAGAAAAGCCCTGCTTTGAATCTCTGTGCTTGCTCGTGTACCTGAGGTACGAGAAGCTTATTCTTTACTCCTTTCACAAATCAGCCAGCCACCGTGAGCATAAGTACTTTACGCTTCATTCCTAAACCAACCGCGCACAAAGCTTGAGGCGTTATTTTGTGCTTAGGGGACTCTGGAAGCTTGAAAGGCAATGTGCCTCCCCAGAGGTAGTCACGTGCCCTGGGCGCGCTCCCGTGTCGCCCGCCGCGCGCCCCTGGACTCTGGCGCACGCGCGTTAGGTCAAGTTTCTCGGGCCCGCGTCTCCAGCTTAGCAACGCCAGTGGTGACGCGAGGCCCCGCCCCTCCGGCGCGCGCCTCCCGGAAGTTGCCTGCCGGGGAGCTGAACGCCGGCCCCACACGGTGTCTGCTTGTGGTACTCAGTCGTGTCGGTCACGAGCACCCGGGCCGCAGTGTCGGCTGGGGCTCTGGGCTGCACGTTCACGAGCGCAGCGCCGACTGTACCTGGTGACGATGGCGGGGCCGCAGCCCTTGGCTCTGCAGCTGGAACAGTTGTTGAATCCGAGACCGCGTGAGGCGGATCCTGAGGCCGACCCGGAGGAGGGTGAGGCCTGACTGGGGCCGGCCACGTGCGGAACTGTGGGTCGGGGCGAGCCGGTGGCTCCCGGGCCTGCTCGCCTTTCCTCTGCGCTAAGGAAAACTGTGTCTCGGGAGGGTTGACCCCTGGAGGGCTGGAGGGTGACATGATCTGTAAACGGGCATTCCAGACTTTAGGGGTGGGCTGGACACACGGACTCTGGCTGGGAGTTGCTGCTGGGAGCTACTTGCAACCGACTGGCAGTTATTGAGGATGCCCTTTCTGGTATTACCTTAGAAAGGATAAAGATGTCTGATGAGTTTCAGATTTTTGTGTGTTTAAAACGGACCCCCTTAGAAACTTGCTTCGAAAATGAAAAAGTAGGCTTCTCTGGTGCTGTTGAAGCATGTTTGGTTTGTTTTGTTTTTTGAGACAGGATTTCTCTGTGCAACAGCCCTAACTATCCTGGACCTAGCTCTGTAGATCAGGCTGGCCTCGAACCTACAGAGATCTTCCTGCCCCTGCCTCCCTAGTGCTGCGATTAAAGGTGTGCACCACCACCGCCAAGTGCATGATTAGGCCTTAAAGATCCTTGCCCGCTGGGCGTTGGTGGTGCACGCCTTTAATCCCAGCATTTGGGAGGCAGAGGCAGGACTTTGTGAGTTCGAGGCCAGCTTGGTCTACAAGAGCTAGTTCCAGGACAGTCTTTAAAACAATACAGAGAAACCCTGTCTCGAAAAAAACCAAAAAACAAAACAAAACCATATTTGCCCACGTGCTCACAGACACATTCTTCATAAGCCTGTTCTGAGACTAGCTGGGCTTTAGACTTCAGGAGTTGTGAGGAAGGAATAATAGAAGAGATTAGGAGTCGTGGTGTAGGAACATCAGGTGAGGAAACGGGTTTGTTTAAGCCAGGGTAAGTGAAGCTAACTGGAGAGGTGGCATGAGGTGACTGTAGAACTTGATGATTGATTGATATTGGAGTGACTGTCATATATATTAAGGAAGGATTAAGGTCCTGTGGGCATGTAGCTGACATACTTGGGCCCTGGATATAATCTTCAGAACCTCCAAAAAAGAAAAGGAAACAGATAAAAACACCATGGAAAAGGAAGGAAGAATCAGAGCAGATTTATAGTATCCAAGGCATAGGAACAGTCTTCTAGTAGATGCAGGGAGTTAGCTTTCTATTCAGAAACAGAAAGCAATGTGATAGTAGTCTCTGTAGAAACCAGAAATGAATTCCCCATTCCTGTAAGTTAGTGGAAACTTTATAGAGGGCACTTAATGAAGTGAGGGCTGGGGATGTAGCCCAGTTGGTAAGAGTACTACTTATCTAGCACAGAAAGGTAGGATGTGGGGTTGAAATTGCTTAATTGGGTTCCTATTACAGTTTTTTTTTAACCTAAGATTCTATTTTCCTCCCTCCCCCACAGCTACTAGAGCCAAAGTGATTGACAGGTTTGATGAAGGAGAAGTGGAAGACGGTGATCTGGCAGTGAGTAACATTAGAAAATTGGCATCATCTTCCCTCTTGGACACAGACAAAAGGTATTCTGGAAAGACCACTTCTAGGAAAGCTTGGAAAGAAGACCACTGGGAACAGACTCTGCCAGGTTCTTCTGGTGAGTAGACATAAGGAAACTCTTCTCTAACCCTAGTTGTGTAGAGTTGAAGTGCTGTTTCCGAATGCCTCCTGGAAGTCTGTGCGTCTCTATTTTAGGAGCGACCGTTAATTTGGTACTAGGAAGGGCCTTAGAGGTCACCACTTCGCTTAAAAGAGTCCTAAAGCTCAGCTAGGCATGTTCCTGTTATCTCAGAACCAGGTGAGACTGAAGTAGGAGGGTCAGAGTTCAACGCTGCCTGCATAGTTCTGTACTGGCATGTGCTACACCTGATACCCTGTCTCAAAAGAACAAATTAAAAAGAAACCTAAAACTCAAGTTACCAAGTTCAGATTAATAGCTCACCCTAAAATCAGTGAAATGAGTCAGTACTAGGTTTTTGGCAGGGCTATAAGTTAAAAAAAAAGTCAGATACATGTGTTGCTTTTATATTTTGACCCTTTTGGTTTTTCAGGTCTTATATGGATTCTCTGTGTATTAGTTATTCTTGAAACTGACCTTTTGTCATTATAAAAAAAAATAATGATGCTTGCTGGGCATTGGTGGCGCATGCCTTTAATCCTAGCACTCGGGAGGCAGAGGCAGGCAGATCTCTGTGAGTTCGAGACCAGCCTGATCTATAAGAACAAGTTCCAGGATAGCCTCCAAAACCACAGAGAAGCCCTATCTCAAAAAGCCAAAAAAAAAAAAAAAAATAATAATGATGCTTTCATTTTTTCTGAGAAAGAATTAGGATGTGAGTTTATAGTTTAAGCAATAGTAAGTTTCTCAAGATGGAAGAAGTCTCTGGATATGGATATTGAGAGGATGCCATTTATTTTCTTTTAGGAAGGTCATGTTGAGACTCCACCGATAACATCCCAGGAACTACCATTTGGGTTATGATATGTATGATTCAGTCGTTGATGTAGTTCTAGGAGCTTAACATGCTAGAGACTTAAGAGGGCTAATCCATGAGCCATTATGATAAAATTTATTGAGTTCTCACCATATGTCAGCCACTGTAGTTAGCTTTTTAAGTTCTGAGAGCCTGGGACACAGTCCCCCCCAGATATCACCATAAGGCCTGGAGAGTTGGTCCAGTGACTAAGAGCACTTGCTTTTTGGGGACCCAGGTTAGATTCCCAGCACCTGTATGGAGGCTCACAACCATTCATGACTCCAGTTCCTCTGTAGGCACCAGAGATGCACTTGTCTACACTGTGTTATAGGAAAATTTCTTAGTTTGAGAATTAGTTAAATTTAAAGGGTTGTTCTACTGTGTTTTTAATTTTGACAGCCTATCTGAGACTTTAAACTTAAGGGTGTGTGTGTGTGTGTGTGTGTATGTGTATGTGTGTATGTATGTGTCTTTTTTATTTTCTCTTGAGGCAGTGTCTTGAAGGGTCTGGAGTCACATGCCTTTAATCTAAACACTTGGGAGGCAGAGGCAGGTGGATCTCTGAGTTCAAGGCCAGTTTAGTCTTCAAAGCAAGTTCCAGCCACAGTTAAACGTAAGACCCTGTCTCCAACAAAACAAAAGCAAACAAACAAAATTAGGACAGAGTTTTACTGTGTTACTCTGGTTAGCCTGGAACTTGCTATGTCGACCATGCTGGAGTTAGAGATGAGAACCACCATACCTAGCAAATTTAGGCATATTTCTTGAAAGAACTCTTTATTTTCATAAACTCTTTATTTCACTTGGCTATTGCAAACTTGTTTACTATATCTAATAATCATGGTTGATACACTTTTATGTTTTCCTACAGAAGAGGTTAGATGAACAGCACAAAATCTCTAAATGTCAGATGACACAAGCATAAGCAAAACCTGGAGCTGTAACTGACTCATCAGCTGTAAAATTAAGTTTAGATTCCTTCCCAAGGACAACACGATTGGTCCTGATTTTCTGGCAACCCTCTAGGTTCATGTACCTCTACTTCCCCACTTCCTTTTTTTTTTCTTAAAAATTTATTTATTATGTATGCAGTGTTCTGCCTGCATGTCAGGAGAGGGCACCAGATCTCATTTTAGATGGCTGTGAGCCACTATGTGGTTGCTGGGAATTGAACTCTGGACCTCTGGAAAAGAAGTCAATGCTCCTAACCTCTGAGCCATCTCTCCAGCCCTCCCCACTTCTTCTTGGGCAGTCTTTAGTTCTTTTCCTTACCTTTTCTCAGTTTGATGAACTGTTTGATATGCTTCATAAGTAAATTTATAATGTCTCCACATAAGTCATCTCTGACCTTTTCCTGGAAGGTTAGGTGGTTCCTTTTCTTATTTTAGGGAAGATGGGGATTGGAGTGTGGGGAGGAGGCAGTAACTCAATATATAGTCCTGGTGGGCCTGAAACACGCTATGTAGACAAAGCTGGTCTTGAACTTGCTTGACTCTCTTGCCTCTTCCAAATGCTAGGATTACAGGTGTGTGCCAGTTTGGTACCTTTTCTATATGCTCCTTTTCTATCACTCCCATAAGACAATGAACTCCTCTCCATAGGTATTCTAGTTTCATTTCTGTTGCTATAATAAAAATACTTTGGCAAAAAGCAACTTAGGGAAGAATTGGGTTTATTTCAGTTTACAATTCTGGATTTTAGTTCGTCATAGAAGGGTGGCAGGAGCTGGAAGCAGCTGGTCGTATCATATCCAGGCCAAGAGCAAAGAGAGAATGAATGCACCTTTACCTGCTTGCTCTCAGCTAGCTTTCTCTTTTTCTGTCTTACACTGTTAGGACTCTCTGCCCAGGGAATGGTGCTGCCTACAGTGGACTAGGTCTTTCTATTTCAATTAACAATCAAAATAATCCCCCCTAGACATGTCTGCAGATCACTCTGGTCTTCATAATTCCTTATTAAGACATGATGATGCATGCCTCTTCAATACCTGTTCTCAAATGGACATTTAAAACTAACCTGTACAGCCGGGCGTTGGTGGTGCACACCTTTAATCCCAGCACTCGGGAGGCAGAGGCAGGCGGATCTCTGTGAGTTCGAGGCCATGCTGGACCAACAGCCTCCAAAACAATACAGGGAAACCCTGTCTCGTAAAAACCAAAAAAAAAAAAAAAAAAAAAACTAACCAGTACAATCTACCCTTTGTTAACCTAACATATAGACACATCACTTTAAGCCATAACTTTCTGTGTGTTGTCCCTAAAATCTCATATTAGTATTATAAAAGACAATCCAACTCCAAAATGTCCTCAATATCTTTAAAAATCCCAACACTTAAAAAAAAAAAACTCAAGGTAGTCAGTCCTGCCTCAGTTATCTGGGTGCTGAGATTATAGTCATGAGCCACCATGGCTGGCACGAAGTTTTTTCAAAGCACTTTTTTTTTTTTGGTTTTTACGAGATAGGGTTTCTCTGTATTGTTTTGGAGGCTATCGGTCCAGCCCTGCCTCGAATTCACAGAGATCCGCCTGTCTCTGCCTCCTGAGGGCTGGGACTAAAGGCTTGCGCCACCACCACCCAGCTTCAAAGCACTTTTTATTCCTGTATTATACCTTTTGTGTCTGTGTCTTTACTGTATTTCTTTAGGTTGGACTCATGTTTTGTTTGTCTTTGTTTCCCCTTAGCATTTTAGAGATAGTAGATATATAGTAAATGTTCAGTTGAATAGAGCACAATAACATGTTTGCTTTCATAGTAGATGCCACAGTTCATTAATTGAAATGAAAGATGTGGTCTGGTATTTTTCTCTAGGCAAACCCCCGCCCACCCCTTTTTTTTGCTTATGATTTAGACAAAGAAATATCTGATGAAGATGGATCTGGAGATGAGGATTCAGAGGACCTGGGCCTGGAGGAATCGGAGGAAGAGGAGGAGGAGGAGGAAGAACTAAGTGCTATTGAGGAAGAGGATGCTGACAACGGTTCAAAGAACAGTCTGGCTCAGAAGAAGGGCAGAAGGCATTCTACAGAAATGCCAGGCTTCAGTTTCCAGAGCATTAGTGATTATGAGAAATTTACAGAAGGAATGGATGACCTGGGGAGCAGTGAGGCGGAGGAAGAGAGTGGCATGGAAGAAGGAGACATGGGGGAAAACTTAGAAGGTGAGAGTGAAGAAGACGGGGAAGGAGACAGAAACAGTGAGGATGACGGTGTGGTGATGACCTTCTCCAGTGTCAAAGTCTCTGAGGAAGTGGAGAAAGGAAGAGCTGTGAAGAATCAGATAGGTGCGTATGTGCTTTTGCTGCTTGCTTGTTTTTCAGGGTTTCTGCATCAGTCTGCTTTTGGTTTTGTTCTGTTTGTCCAGTGCCCTTCTAAGTAGTCTGTGACATACCTCTCTTTACCCAGAATCCTGAACACCAGTTCTTGCTTCACTGCTTAGCAGACTCTGCTCTAGGCCTTGTGGAAGATTGAAGAGGAGCATGTTAGGTCTTCCTTTCTTATAGCATGTATTTCCATCCAAGAGAGAGAATTCGTTTTCTAGAATGAAGAATGTTTCTATGACATGAAAGTCATAATACATGCTGCTTAGAGATTGGTACTGCTTCCTCTCCCTCTTTAATCCCCAGCTCAGAGAGAATCTTGACTCAGAGATGGACTTCTCTTTTACTTTTTTCTTCAGCATTGTGGGACCAGCTCTTGGAAGGAAGGATCAAATTACAGAAAGCTCTGTTGACTACCAATCAGTTGCCTCAACCAGATGTTTTTCCAGTCTTCAAGGACAAAGGTGGCCCAGAATTTACCAGTGCTCTAAAAAATAGTAAGAATTCTTATATCATTTGGGGTTATTCTGAGTTGGACGTAAAAAAAAAAAAAAGATTTTTTAGTGATACTATAATATAGAATATTGGTTCCAATTCTTTGCTTATACTTGATCTTATCAAAAAATCTAAATAATTAGCAATTCTTTTAAGAATATCAGTATAACCCATTATTAAATGAAGACAGCTTTAAAGTAGATCAGGCACTTGAGCCATGTCTGTTTCATGATATCACTGACATCTTTCCCTTGACTTTTTGAGTTACTTCTTAAATTCTTTTTTGTTGGTGGTTTTTTTTTTTTTTTTTCCGAGACAGGGCTTTTCTGTGTAGCTTTTGGCTGTCCTGGAACTCATTCTGTAGACCAGGCTGGCCTTGAACTCAGAGATCTGCCTGCCTCTGCCTCCTGAGTGCTGGGATTAAGGGTATGTGCCACCACTCCTAGATGAGTTACTTCTTAAATTCTTAGGGGAAACTGTTTGAAAACCTATAGGTATAGAATAAGAAGGAGAGAATGAGTAATTAAACTCGGCCCTTATGCTGGTTGTATCACATGCTTAAATGATGTGTTCCTCTGTTAGGGAGGGCTTTAGAACAAGTTAAATGATGCTATTCCTATCTTTCTTTTGGGTAACAAAGGAAAGAGACTGACTACAGGGGAAGAATACATTTTGGAATAGAACTACTGAGCTATAAACTCAAAAGAATTCTAGAGAGAAAAAAAATTTAGAGGTTACTTAGTTCCTAATTCCTTCACTCTACAGAAGAGAAAACCAGAGACAGTGGCTCACCCAAAGTTAGAGTTTGCTCATGAACAGCAGACACAAAATACCAGCTTTTCTTCCTCTTAGACTAGTAGTCTTCCTTGAATACTATTGCCTCTTATGTGTCCAGTGGCAGCAAAGTGCCAGAGCACAGGGACCCTGGTTGGCATGGCTATTCCTGACCTGTACGCTGAGATGTTGTTTCTTTTGTATTTTTAAACTTAAAAGCTGGATCACTGCCTGCAGTCCCAGTTACTTTGGAGGCTGAGGAGTATCCCTTGTGCCTAGGGATTTAGGGGCATTGCCAGATTACCCCCCCCAAAACATGAAAGCCAAATGTAACTGTCTTAGAGTTTCTATTGCTGTGAAGAGATATCATGACCACTGCATCTGTTATAAGGAAAACATTTAATTGAGGGGGGAGCTTGGTGGCATGTAAGCAGCATGGTACTGGAATAGTAGGTGATAGTCCTACATTTTGCAGGCATCAGGAAGTCAACTGAGAAACTGGGCTGTATTCTTAGCATAGGAAACCTAAAGACCTATCAAAACAGTGATACACTTCTTCCAACATGGCCATACCTACTCCAACAAAGCCACTCCTTCTAATAGTGCCACTCCCTATGAGATTATGGGTGCCAATTACATTCAAACTACCACAATAACCCTTTATAGAATGGAGTTAGATTTGGAAGAGAACTGAGGACATCTGGTTTGGTTCTGCCTTTAAATAGGATCACTTGAAAACAATTCAAGATGGGTATGTGCAACTTCAAGGATTTCTTTTCTTTTTTCTTTTTAGACAGGATCTTACTATGTAGACCTGGCTGACCTCACAGAAATCTATCTTCTATTTCCCCAGTGCCAGTATTAAAGGGATCACCACCATTCCTGGCATAAGCATTTCTTTTGTAGGAGAATATGTGGTTAGAATGACTTCCTGTGGACAATTTTTAGTTTTGTGGCCTGCCATACTCAAAGTTTGTTTTCTGTGAAATCTGGGCAACCTTTCAGTGTGTGTTGTGAGGGCTTCAAAAGAAAAGAAACCAACTGACTTCCTCTCCTGACTCCTCCTCTTCTCCCTAAATACACAATACAGTCTTTTGTTTTTAGATTTTTTTGGAGCACTTCTTTGCTATTTTTAGTGCCCTAGTATTCTCATTTCTGAGGATGCCTTTGGATGAGACCTAAACTGCCCTAGATTAAATGTCTTAAACTTTATTTGTTTTTGTTTTTTGATTTTTCTTTTTTCTTTTTTTTTTTTTGGTTTTTCGAGACAGGGTTTCTCTGTGGCTTTGGAGGCTGTCTTGGAACTAGCTCTTGTAGACCAGGCTGGCCTCGAACTCACAGAGATCCGCCTGCCTCTGCCTCCCGAGTGCTGGGATTAAAGGCGTGCGCCACCAACGCCCGGCCTGTTTTTTGATTTTTCAAGATAGAGTTTCTCTGTGTAACATCTCTGACTATCCTAGAACTCACTCTATAGGCCAGACTGGTCTTAAACTCACAGAGATCCGCTTGAGTACTAGGACTAAAAGTATATGCCACCACTGCCTGGCTGCCTTAAACATTTTACAGTAAGGTCTTTTTTTTTTAAGATTTATTTATTTATTGTATATTCAGTGTTCTGCCTGCATGTATGCATGTATTCCTGCAGACCAGAAGAGAGTATCAGATCTCATTATAGATGGTTGTGAGCTACCATGTGATTGCTGGGAATTGAACTCAGGACCTCTGAAAGAGCAGCCAGTGCTCTTAACCTCTGAGTTAGTCTTCTTACCTGAATCTTTTTATAAATACTCATTTTAAAATACAGATATTTTCTGGGTTAGCATCTGTCTTAGTTTGAGTTTCTGTTGCTGTGAAGAAACACCATGACCATGGCAACTCTTATAAAGGAAAACATTTAATTGAGGTGGCAGCTTACAGTTTCAGAGGTTTAGTCTATTATCATCATGGCAGAGAGCATAGGGGTATGCAGGCAGATGTACTGGAGGAATAGCTAAGAGTCCTATAGTTTGCAGTCAACAGGAAGTGGACTAAAACTCATATTGAGGGAAGCTTGAACAAAAGAGACCTCAAAGCCTGCCCCCCACAGTGACACATTTCCTACAAGGCCACACCTCTTAATAGTGCCCCTCCCTTTGGGGGCCATTTTCTTTCAAACCACCACAGCATCACATTTTTAATTTCTTTAGTCACTTAAATGCTACTTTAATTCTGCTTTTATAACAGTTCTGATCTTTCTTTTTTTTTTTTTTTTTTTTTTTTTGGTTGTTTCGAGACAGGGTTTCTCTGTGGCTTTGGAGGCTGTCCTGGAACTCGCTTGGTAGTCCAGGCTGGTCTCGAACTCACAGAGATCCGCCTGCCTCTGCCTCCCGAGTGCTGGGATTAAAGGCGTGCGCCACCAACGCCCGGCTCTGATCTTTTTTTTTTTAAATTTATTTATTTTTCAGTTTAAATTTAGATTAGAAACAAGGTTGCTTCACAAGTCAGTTCCAGGTCCCTCTCCCTTTCTCTCCCATCCTCCCGTGCCCTCCCCTCCAGTTCTGATCTTTCTAATCTTTTGCACTTAACCAGTTGCCTCCTCCTGGTGAACTCAGTCATTCTGACAGGTATCTGTAAGTCTGTGGTAGAAGAGGGAGAAGGAAGGAGTATTTATTTGGTGTTACATTCTGAGAGGATAGGGATCTAATAACCAGAATTTCTATACATCTGAAGCCAGTTTTTGTTTGCTCTCATCCTCTTATGACAGTATGACTTAATATGATATATACACCCCATCTGACTAGTTTTCATAACAATTTCTCTGGTATGTTATTCTGAATAACCAGCTTGTGTATATAGCTGGTATGAAACAGGCTGAATTGATAATTATTCCAGATCAAACAGAATTTACTCTCCTTTATTGAGTCTTAGTCATTTTGCTTTTGCATTTATTTTTATTTTTATTTATCTTTTTAACTGAGACCAAATCTCACTGAATAATCCTGGCTGGCATGGATTACTATGTAGATCAGGCTGGTTTCAAACTTAGACCCACCCTTCTCTCCTGAGTGTTGGGATTATAGGCATGAGCTATCACACCTGGTTTGCTTAGTCTTATAGAGCAGTTAAAGTTAGACTGCCTATGTTTGTTTTGTTTTGTTTTTTTGGTTTTTCGAGACAGGGTTTCTCTGTAGCTTTGGAGGCTGTCCTGGAACTCGCTTGGTAGTCCAGGCTGGCCTCGAACTCACAGAGATCCGCCTGCCTCTGCCTCCCGAGTGCTGGGATTAAAGGCGTGCGCCACCAACGCCCGGCTGGCCTATGTTTGTTTGTTCAATTTTAGACAGGTCCCTTGTACTCTAGTTGCTTTGGACTAGCTGTGTGGTAGAAGATAACCTTGAACTCCTAATTTTTCTGTTTCCAACTCTCAAATGCTGGATTAATCTTTTTTTTTTTTCTTTTTTCTTTGAGACAGTGTCTCATGTACCCAGGGTGTCTTCCAACTTGCTTTGTAGTTAAGGATAGCCTTAAGCTTCTGATCCTCCTGCCTCCATCTGTCTAGTACTTGGGGTACAGGCATGTGTGCTACCATGTCTAGAGTACAAGTACCCTAACACCTTGCCTGGGTTAACACACCATCTCAGCAGTTGATTAGCTCTGTGGTCTTGGGCAGGTGACTTCATAGTAAGATAGGGCTAATATGGTCCTGAGGATTAAAGGACATAATCAATGTAAAACATAATTGTACAATGTCTGGCACACATCCCACCATAACAATTAGGTACCAGGGTTATCTTTTTCTGTTGAAAGACATTGGGCAGTGTTCAGCTCTGTGGATGGTTCTCATTGGTATAACTATTATCCCCACCGTCTTCAGTGTTTTTATAATCTTATTAGTATTCCAAATCCCTATGTAGTTTAAGCTAACTATTGTCTAGTGTTATAGTCTGCTTTAATACTTATAAACCTTGGCCTCTTAGGCTGCTATGAAAAGGTAGGTTTCAAGTGATTTCCTTATTGCCTTGCAAAAGCATTCAATCAAGTTTTTTAACATTTTAAGTTATTATTTGTGTGTGCTTGTGTAATATGTGTGTGTGTGTGTGTGAGAGAGAGAGAGAGAGAGAATGAAAACATGGCAAGATCAAGCTAGCAATCATATGTGCATACATTCAACAGACCATATGTGGAAGCAGAGAACTTTGTGAAGTAACTTGTCTCCTGCATTTATGTGGTTACAGATCATCAAACTTTCAAT